GTAGAGTTGATAATAACTCATAGCAACCTTATAGGACAGAGTAGAGTTGATAATAACTCATAGCGACCTTATAGGACAGCGTAGAGTTGGCCCCTTCGAGTTTGGAAGGCTGTACCTATTTACAAGAGTAGAAAAGCCTCATCTTTCTCCCAAGTGGCTGGTGGTTTCAAATTGCCCACCTTGAGGACCGCAGCCCGGATCACAGCCCAACACACAGTCACTGTGCCACCAGGGTTCCTATAGAATTGCTTTCCCTCTGTGGAAGGCACCGGGGTACTCTCACTAGTCCTCTGGAAAGGAAGTTGCCAGGTACACACAGCCGTGCATGCTCTTTCTAGGCATTGAATTCACCATTATGCAAGTCCAGAGTGAGTGATTGTGGACATTATCCTAGTATATCCAGTCGGCTGTGTGTACACGAGGGGATTCCCCCCAAAGCAAAAGTTTTTTCAAATCTTGTATTTAAATTTTTTTACAAAACAACCTTATCACCTTCAGAGTACTCCCCCCGTTACACTTAATACATTGATCAAATCTGCTATTCCATTCTTGGAAACATTTTCCAAACTCAGTGGTTTGCATGGCTGACAGCACCTCCCTCGTTTTGTTTTTTGCCTCTTCTACATCGTCAAATCGCTGTCCTTTCATGTCCCTCTTCATTCTCGGAAACAAAGACGTCACACAGAGCGAGGTCAGGTGAGTAAGGTGTGTGGGGCAAGAGAGGCATGCTGTTTTTGCCAAAAACTGGCACACTGAGATGGCTGCATGAGCAGGTGCGTTGTTGTGGTGGCAAAACCAGTCCCCCGTCTGCCACCAATCAGGCCTTTTTTGGTCACACACTGTTACACAATCTTTTCGGAACCTCTAAATAGAAAGCTTGATTAACAATCTGACCTAATATAATGAACTCCAAATGCCCTACGAGTCAACATTTTCATCTGTTCAGGAAGTTGATCGACATCCAGAATGAGGTTTGTCATCAGTGAACATTTCACCTTTTGTGAAACAAGAAAACCACTCCTACACCTGAGTTTTCCCATAGCGCTGTCCCTGTAAACTGGGTTCAACATCACAACAGTTTCTGTAGCATTTTTCCCAAGCAGGAAACAAAATTTCACAGCCATACAATGTTCTCTTCAATCAGCTATCACAAAAAAAACGAGCTTCAAGAGAAACTGCTTTCACAAAAATATTCACTGTGACCACAGAGAATCTTCCCAGGTGACGGCACCAGGTGCACTAACTCAGAGCAAGTTGCTTGATGCTCGCCTAGCAGGGAAAATGTGTACTGTGAAAGCTCCATTCCTCCCAGTGCAATTCTGGTTTCTTGGGGGTACCCCTTTTTATATACATTTCTTCTATTATGAGGCATATCCTTTGAATGTAGACATTTCTCTGTGCAAGGTCTGGGGCTAGGTGAGGGCTATATAAAAATGAAGCTGGTTTGGTTTTAGTTTTATGGTTACGTAAGTAGCATCTAGTTGACTCTGACTCATAGCAGGCCTCTCTGTCCAATGGAACAGAACACCACCCAGCCCTGTGCCGTCCGCACAATCACTGTTGTGTTTAAGCCCATTGTTACTGCCACGGTGTCAATCCATCCTGTTGAGGCTCTTCTGTTTCACTAGCCCTCTACCAAGCATGAACGTCCTCCTCCAGGGTCGGGCTTTTCCTGACAACATGCCCAAAGTCCATGAGACAAAGTTCCACCTTCCTTGCTTCTAAGAAGCATTCTGAGTGTGCTTGCAATTGTGTTTGTGTGTGTGAGTTTAGTAGATAACCTGGCATCATACCTAGTGGTGAAAATCTTGGACTAATAAATTCAGCATCATGGAACACTCCAGGTGAACTGGGAAACATTGACATTACCTCTATGCAGCTTGGGGTCTGATCTTTTTTACGTATAAATTCTACTTACATGGTGGTTCAATGATTCTACTCCTCAGGTTGATTGTTTATTTATTGTTTTACTTGATCCTTAATGGTACTATTTCCAGCACTGCTCAAGATGCCTAGGTTTGCTTAGGAATACACTTGATCATGTCTGATAACTTTGGTGTGATGTCTACTCATTATTTGGCTAATCTTCCAGCGTGCAGCATCTTTAAGCAATCGTATGGCAGGAACACATGGATGCTGTAGCAGGCAATCAGCTTCCCCATAAATAACTCAGAAGCTACATATCCGATTTGTCGGGATTCATCCTTGTTAAGTCCAGATAGAATATTGAGTTCGTGCTGGGAGCTTTGGATGGTCTGTAGAGGAGCGAATTGTTAGCACATGGCACCCACATTAATTTAAGATGAGTCACTTACTTTTCTATCTTCACATTTGGAGCTTTGAATTATTTTCCTAAGTAGACCTGGCTTTTGGAGTTGAGTTTTCCCTACCAGCCGAGCCATGATGCTCAGCCACGGCAGATTTATGACCTTTCGAAAATAATGATGGAAAATGAGATCGGAGGAAACATTTTAGTATCTGCTTTGCTCTGAGGCCTAAGCTGTGAACTCTGTAGTTCTTGAAGGCTTTGAAATGCTGATCCCAGCCTTCTGGTGGGTTCTTAAACACCTTCTCAAATGACCCATTTTAATAACCCGAAAGCTATTCTATAACAAGCAGCCATAATTTAGTCCAGGGCTCTAGGGGGACCCTCACAGTTCAGCAATGAATAGTTAATGCAGTATAATGTTTAGCAGGTTATTAGTTTTCACCATACAAATGCTGATCAGGGACCGCTTTTATAAGGTGTTTAAAAGAAAATGTAATTAACTGGTTGCGTGCTTCTGTTGCAGCTCAAATTGAAATTATTCCATGCAAGATCTGTGGAGACAAATCATCAGGAATCCATTACGGTGTCATTACATGTGAGGGCTGCAAGGTAAGCCTTTTTAATTGTTGTTGTTGTTTCTATTATTGCTGGAAGGTAGTTGTGTGGGGTTTTGTTTTGTTGTGTGTATTTTTGCTTTTTTTTTTTTTTTAACTGCTACTGGTTCTAAAAATTCAACTCCTTGGAATTTTGAGTGATAGGAAATGACAGATCATGGTAAATATTTCTGTTTTAAGTGACTATTAACCACTGCTGTGGAGTCATTTCCGCGTCATAGTGACCCGTGTAGAGTTCCCAAAGCTTTGTAAAGCTTTATGAAAACCAGGGGCCTCATCTATCTCCCATGGAGTAGTTGGTGGGTTTGAACCTCCAACCTTTAAGGCATTCATGTGCAAAAATATGTTAGCTTCTCCCTCCAAAATGTAGGCTGCCTTGTCTCTTCAATCCCAGATTGATAGAATGACAACTTCTATATCTCATACAAGTTTCATGAGAAGGCATTTCTAGGAAATCACATTGGAATGTGATCGGGAGCCTATTGTTGGCTCACGGATGTTGACACAGCGGGTACAGTTAGAGGAAGGGCATTAGAAAGACCTGCCATCTGATATCGGTTCCGCCATTTCCCCACATGATTTGGGGTAGGTCTCCGTCAGCTGGGGACTCAGCTCCTTCATCCCCAAATCAAGCCTGGCACCTGTGTTTCGCACCTTTTTTTTTTTTAAATCATTTTATTGGGGGCTCATACAACTCTTATCACAATCCATCCATCCATCCATCCATTGTGTCCAGCACATATGTACATTTGTTCCCATCATCATTCTCAAAACATTTGCTTTCTACTTGAGCCCTTGATATCAGCTCCTCATTTTGCCCCTCCCTCCCCCCTGGCCCCTCCCTCATGAACCCTTGATAACTGTAGATGGAAGTCCTTCTTAGCCTGAAGGTGCTAAGAACATTTAAGAACAGCCCTTATTATTGATGTTGTTCCTGTTTTTATTTATGATCGACCTCAGGGCACACATGCAGTCCAAGCCCAATAGGGAGATGGAAAATTGAGATGTCGGTCCTAATTATGCAAGACCCCCTCCCAAGCCAGCCCAGGTTGCTCCCATTATTCAAATTTCCGTTTATTAAGATTTAAATCCTCCTGCTTGTGTTGGCAGGGCCTTGAGACAGCTTAGAGGATGGAACTGTGAAAAACAAACAGGAGAGAAGCTCTCTGAGAATGCCGGAAGCCTGGAGATAGGAGGCTGCCGCAAAAAACTAAAAATTAGGAAGAAAAGTCATCAGGCGTAAAGTCACTGTTATGGACCAGTCACGACTCCTAGACTTCCGGGACACTGTTTTCATTAGGCTGTTGACCTGGGTGCATGCACGAATGCTTACGGTTGAGGCCATCCTAGGGAAGTTCTTCTGTGGCGCCTTCTGCACACCCCCTAACTAACACACTTTATTTAAAAAAAAAAACACCTACCTGCCTGGCACCTTAAAGGGGGTTTTGAATGATTCATTTCTATGATAACCCCTCCACCAGCCACTCCTTGGGAGAAAGAGAGGGCTTTTTATGCCTATAAAGAGGCATGTAGATATGGATTGTGATAAGAGTTGTATGAGCCCCTAATAAAATGATAAAGAATAAAATAAAATCATAAAATATGCCCCCCAAAAGAGGTATGTAGAAACGGAAAAGATTCTACCCCGTTACTTCCTCAATCGGCCCTCCTTCAAAAAAAAATAAAATAAGAAACTCTGCCATCGAGTCTTCCATCGCACAGTGACTCTGTAGGGACGGGTAGAACTGCCCATGTGGGTTTCTGAGACTCTTTACAGGAGTAAAAAAGCCATCTCTTTCCCCCAAGGAGCGGCTGGTGGTTTCAAACTGCTGACCTTGCAGTTAGCAACCCAATGTGCAACCACTACACCCCTGGGGCTCCTTTTAATAAAAGGAAATGAAAATAAAATGGCCTGCCTGGCCTGTGCTGTCCCAGGATGTGCGGACGAGAGTGTGTGATCGTGAGAACTGTGAGAGCCCTGGTTTTCAGATGTGGCGGGGCAGGGCTGTGTGAACCTCTGTCCTCAGTCCCTTAGGGTACCATCTCCCAAAGCCGTGTCCCTGGAAGGAGTCCAGCAATGGCCTTCCTCCACGAGAGTCAGACCGCCTTAGCGGCGTTCCTTCCTGCACCCCCAAGCAGGCTTGCTCTCTGGGTGTGGCACTCCCCTTAGTGGGTTTTTGTTGTTTTTCTTTAAATAGTTGGGGTCTAGGCAGCATCCTGGGTGCAAATCCACTTCATGTCCCTTCAGGCTGTCTAAGAATCCGGCCACTTTCATGTGTCGTTGTGGGGTGTTATTGGGGGGGAGGGGGTTGTATAGTACAAATCAGTTTTCCACTCAACACGTCACACACATTTTGTCTCCTGCCATTGATTGTGGTCCCCACAATGCCGCCTCCCTTGTCCCTTGTCCCTGTGTGCCGCTGTAGAGTCTGGGAATCAAGTCTGGGGCAGGAGCAGAGGAGGGGGGCGGGACCAGGGTGCTTGTTGGTGCTTGGTGCCCTGGAGTTGATTCCAACCCACAGTGACCGCTGATAACAGAGTTCGAGCCAACCGCCATCCGCTTCACTCGGCTGCAGATGACGGGGCCTGTTCCCTCATGAAGCGGCTGGTGTAGTCACCTGCTGACTCGTGAGTTGGCAAGGGAGTGCTGAGCCGTGGTGCCACCAGGGCCCTTTGGGGGTGGGGCTACTTCTTGTGTACTACCCTCCCACCTAGAAGAGCCCTGAGGATGTGGTCCTCAGTCAGACCTGAACTGGCCGGCAGGTTATCGCCGTGTCCGCACGGATCGCCTGCCTCCCCCTCCAGGGTGGACACATGACAAAAGCAGAAACAACAAGGAAAGAAAAAACAACTATTATTTCACCTTTTTTTTTATCACTAGATTCCTTTGCAAATCTTTCCCGTTCACAGCCTCAGTGCCAAAGTGGTTTCAGTCATCCATGAACCTGCGCCTCTGTTGTAGATTGACATCAATAGACGCCACCAAAACAAATCATTAAAACAGTCTTAGTAGGTACAGGGCTGGTGCCCAGCCAAGGGCTTCATAGAGTGTTATGTGCCTGTGTCCAATCCATGTCAGATTTGTTCTGCATTATCATTTCTGTCCGCTGTATTAATATTTTTACCCCCACTTCTGGCAATGAGTCGGCGTTGACGCCGGGACAGGATGTTAGGACGCAGTTGAAAACCCCTGTGCTTTCTGCCAGCACGTTGTTGATGTGAATGCTTTGTCATGTCCTAGCCAGGGGAAAGTGGTTCTGCCGTGACCAATTGTAAATCATTTATCTCGGTGATGCTATAAGTAGCTATGTGGACGTTTTCTAATTAGCCATATTAAATAGATATTTAATGAGAGGCGAGAACGTGACTCGGTCATTTTTGAACTAATCATTTTGTGAGCGGATTTCCAGTTGCATCTGAAAGTCAACTGCCTGAAACCTTCAGAAACTAGGGAACCAGTTAATTACTGAACTAATGATCTGTTTCAGCACAGCTCTGTTCAGGTAAGATGGTGCCTGGGCAGCAGAAAGGGCAGCTGTTAGCAGCTTCTGGTCTTGCTCGTCAGTGTTCACAGGGGCTCGCTCCTGGTCCCTCGCACGCCCTGTGGAGCAAGACCAAACTCGTTCCTGACGAGTTGATTCTGACTCGTGGCGGCCCCTTGTGGTCAGAGTACCACTGTAGTGACTGGTGTTTTCGCCTTATATCTAGTTTTTAAACCAGAATTAACATACACAATTCCGTCATATCCAGAAAGGTCGTCCCCTCCATCGATTGTGGAACCTGTTCTCCCTTATTGTTCCCATCAGTGTTGGCTCTTCCTTTCCCCCACCCTCCCCTTCCATGCACCCAGGCACCCTTAAATCCAGCTCTGTTTTCATAAATCCACCCATCCCGGTTCCCATATATAAATAAATAGACGAAACAAGGAGGGGTTGAAAAATGAGGACCTAGCAACAATAATCATAGAAAGGTCTCAATCTTAGAGAAATCTCAGTCTCAGGGAGGAGACGAGCCAGTCAGGGTGCGATGTAACAACGATGAGAAATACAACTTTCCTCTAGTTCTTAAATGTTTCCTCCCCGCTCCCACTACCATAACTCGAATTTGACCTTGCAAGTCTGGCTAGACCAGAGGAGGTACACTGGTACAGATAGGAACTGAAAATACAGGGAATCCAGGACGGATGAGCCCTATAGGACCAGTGGTGTGAGTGGCGAAACAGGGAGGGTAAAGGGAGAATGGGTAGGAAAGAGGGAACCGATTACATGGAACTGTGTGTGACCTCCTCCCTGGGGGACAGACAACCGAAAAGTGGGTGAAGGGAGACATCGGACAGGGCAAGATATGACAAAATACCAATTTATAAACTATCATGGGCTCATGAGGGGGGGCGGCGGGGAGGGAGGGGGAAAATGAGGACCTGATGCAGGGGGCTTAAGTGGAGAGCAAATGTTTTGAGAATGATGAGGGCAATGAATGTACAAATGTGCTTTACACAATTGATGTGTGTATGGATTGTGATAACAGTTGTATCAGCCCCTAATAAAATGTTTAAAAAAAAACCACAAAAAAAACCCAGAAGCTATCATTAAGGTAAAAAAAAAAAAAGAGAGAGAAATCTCAGAGAATATTAAAAATTTAGGAAAAAATTCATGGTGGGTTCAAAGGGAGCTCTAATGACAAGGTGGTTACATTTCAGCCAGAGTACGGCTCCTAAATTCCACTTTTTGATGTTCTTTGTCTGTTAGTAGGATGTGCACATTCCTGGTCCATGGACATTGGTGACTCTCTGGAGACTCAGTCCATGAAGGAGCCCCTTTGTGGATATCACTGTAATCCATAGTGTTCGCAACTGAGTGTTTAGCATTTAAGCACTGTTACCATTCCCTCCTCTGGACTTGCAGCTTATTTAGAATCCTTAGATCGCACAGGCTGGTGTGCTGCTTCTGTGTGGGCTTAGCTGACTTCTCACTTAGATGGCTGCTGGTTTTGAGA